AGAATCGCTTGATCCCGGGAGGCAGAAGTTGCGGAGAGCTGAGATCACATCACTGTACTCCAGCCTGGGCAATAGAATGAGACTCCATCTCAAAAAAAAAAAGTTTGCCAACCCATACAGCAAGATAGAAGGAATCTGAATTCCTGAATGACCTCAGGTAGCCGAGCAGCCTACGTGCCCTGGACCACCTATCCACTTCTGAACTGTTATGTACAGGAAAAGTTTGGGGATCTCCCTGTTATGGAAACTTACCCTGTACTGTAACTAATACCTACATTCTGCATGTTTAAAAACTGTTGGGTAAGTAAATAGCGGGGCAGCAGAACTAACTTCTAGTCCTGTCCATCTTTGCTACTGATCAGTTGTGTGATCTTGAGTAGTCAGTGGGACCTCAAATTTTTATCAAAATGCCTAAGATTCTACAAGGAATGAAAAAGGAAAGGATTTTAGAAGTCTTTTTCAGGAGCCAATTGTGTAACGACAAAGTCCAGGCCCTTTAAAATGGGAGATTTCCACCTGGGGTCAACCATTTGGCTTTTCTGCTAAATAAGTAAAACACCAGTATGAAAGAGAACTTTGGGCTGGGCGCTGTGGCTCGTGCCTGTAATCCCAGGGAGGCCGAGACGGGTGAATCATGAGGTCAGGAGTTCAAGCCTAGCCTGGTCAAGATGGCGAAAACCCCATCTCTATTAAAAACACAAATATTAGCCAGGCATGGTGGCACGCACCTGTAATCCTAGCTACTCGGGAGACTGAGGCAGAGAACTGCTTAAACCCAGGAGGCGGAGGTTGCAGTGAGCTGAGATCGCACCACTGCACTCCAGCCTGTGCAAAGGAGCGAGACTCCATGTCAAAAAAAAAAAAAAAGAGAGAAGTTTTCCCCTTAATTATGATGGGTGCTAGAGGGTAGGGAATACCTGCTGAGCTGTCCAGAGACCTGATCCCTCAGCTGGATTGCAGGGGTTGCTTTAATCTTAGCTCAGGGTTAAGTCCCAGGAGACAGAGTCTTGCTCTGACCTTCAGGGCCTAAGGCTAAGCATCTTCCTGCATCTCAGCCTCCTCTCTCCCCATGCTGAAGATGTGTCAGCTGGCAAAGGTTTCAAAGTGGTTGAAACTGCTCTGTATTTCCAGGACAGTCTGTTCTGCTCCTTGAGGTACGCCATGTATCATCAGCTGGCGCCAGGAGGGTTGGACAAGCCCTTGGCTAGCCATTTGTTCTTACCCTCATTTTCACAAGCATCACTTACATGTAGAAGCCAGTTTAACAATTCAGTTTAAACAATAGTTCTAACAAGTCCCCGATGGCAGCATGTTATCTTCTTAGTAAACTTCATGGAAAATAAAATGAAATCTGAAAGTGGTGATGTAAGGAGATGATGACACATGGGAGCAGAGGTGTATGTTCAAGAATGTTCCCTGCAACACTGTTTAAAATAGCAAAAAAAAAAAAAAAAAAAAAAAAAAAGAGTGGGCCTGGTGGCTTCTGCCTATAATACCAGCACTTTGGAAGTCTGAGGAGGAGGATCACTTGAGCCCAGAGTCGAAGACCAGCCTGGGCAACAAAGTGAGACCCCATCTCTACAAAAAAAATTAGCCAGGCATGGTGGTATGGAGCTGTAGTCCCAGATATTTGGGAGGCTAAGGCAGGAGGATCACTTGAGCCCAGGAGGTTGAGGCTGCAGTGAGCCATGATCACACCCTCCAGCCTGGGCTACAGAGTAAGATACTGTCTCAAAAAAAAAAAAAATTTTTTTTTTAAACAAAAATACAAATATTCAGGATCAGAGGACTCGTTAAATTGTGATACCAGCAGAACCACATATTTATTTCTTCTAGGGGCTAATTTTTATGTTCAATCCAGAAGAGGAAAAAAAAGAAAAAACAAATAGTGGAATTAGTGAGGGATATTTTTGGAAAAGGTAGGGGAATTAAGTCCAAAATTATTTCTGGTGAAGCACTGACTTGAGGCCTTCATCTGTAATAGGATGGTGGAGAGGAGTGACAGGTATTCAAAGGGAAGTCATCTTTAATGCTGAAGTGAAAGGATCACTATGATCAATGTCTTTTCAACAGACACGTATTTTGCTACAAGCATTTCAGGAATATTTGCAAAGTATAGGAGGTTTGGCAGAAACTGATGTGAAACAGTAAAACCAAGTACAATATGTACTTTCTTCCAGAGAAGACATTCTGCAGCCACCACCTGAATCCCTTTCATCTTTCTTATCGACAACATTTGAGACTATCTATGTTGCTGACCCTTATTCATAATCCTTAATTATTTCCATGTCTTTGACCTCTTGTTCCTGGTTATAGTATAACCAGAAATTTTCTTCAGTCCCCTACTAAATCAGAGTCCAAGAGCAGAATAAAATCAAAGTCTATCAGCCTTTTAGTTATAGGAGGTACTTAAAGTTTAATCATTCTCAGACACAGCACTCTGATAGTTTCATTTTGCAGATGAATTGTTCAGTAATGTGTTTGAGGAATGTCAAACAATTTGGTAAGTAAGAATGTTGTGTTAATTTGTCTCAATTTTGTCCTTCCCACTCTTCACAGGCAAGTAAGCACTCTTTTTTTTTTTTTTTTTTTTTTTTTAAAGACAGGATCTGACTCCATTGCCCAGGCTGGAATGGCGTGATCATGGCTCATTGCAGCCTCAATCTCCTGGGCTCAAGTGATTCTCCCACCTCAGCCTCCCAAGTAGTTAGGACCATAGGCATACATCACCATGCCTGGCTAATTTTTAAAATTTTGTAGAGGCAAGGTCTTGCCCAGGCTGCTGTCAAACTCCTGGCCTCCAGTTATCATTTATCATGGTCTCCCAAAGTGTTGGGATTATAGGTGTGAGCCACCATGCCTGACTCGATTATATGCAGGCATACTGTAGCCTGCATATAAGAAAAAAAAATTTCAGGCCGGGCGCGGTGGCTCAAGCCTGTAATCCCAGCACTTTGGGAGGCCGAGGCGGGTGGATCACGAGGTCAAGAGATCGAGACCATCCTGGCCAACATGGTGAAGCCCCGTCTTTACTAAAAATACAAAAAAATTAGCTGGGCATGGTGGCACGTGCCTGTAATCCCAGCTACTCAGGAGGCTGAGGCAGGAGAATTGCCTGAACCCGGGAGGCGGAGGTTGCGGTGAGCCGAGATCGCGCCATTGCACTCCAGCCTGGGTAACAAGAGCGAAACTCCGTCTCAAAAAAAAAAAAAAAAAAAAAAAAAAAAATTTCAAGGAAAAATTTGTTTTGCTAAGCATAACCTGTTTTACAACAAATTGCATTTTTTGGAGGCATCATCCTTAAATTTACCTGCATATTAATTTATCCATTTGGATTATATTTTCTATTTAAGATTTTCTGGCCAGGTGCGGTGGCTCATGCCTGTAATCTCAGCACTTTGGGAGGCTAAGGCAGGCAGATCACAAAAGTCAGGAGTTCGAGACCAGCCTGGCCAACATGGTGAAACACGGTCTCTCCTAAAAATACAAAAATTAGCTAGGTGTGGTGGCCGCCGCCTGTAATCCCAGCTACTTGGGAGGCTGAAGCAGGAGATCGCTTGCTTGAAACCAGAGGTGGAGGTTGCAGTAAGCCAAGATCAGGCCACTGCACTCCATCCTGGGCGACAGAGCTAGACTTCATTAAAAAACAAGCAAACAAACAAAACAAACAAACAAAAAACGTGGTGAGAATATGATTAGAATGAAATTCAGTTTTTGCTCAGATCCCGTTTCACGGATGTCTGACTCTACTCAAGGAGGCATTGGGGATACAGAATCTAAGCACTAACGTCCTCGGAGGTCTTCTGGAGAGAAGTTTTCGTGTCCATTTTCCTTAAGAATCGCCTTTATAATATCCCTCTGTGTGCAAAGAAACCCGCAGGGGAGGAGTAAAAATGGAAGCTTCCATTCAGGAAGGTGACTGCAGGCAAGTAACTGAGCCTCAATTTCCTGACATGCAAAATGCAGGTAATTGACTTGCTAATTAATACATAGAATCTGGTACCAGCCTTGCAAAGACAAGAGTCCCACCTCTAGTTTATCATTTACTAGCTGTGTGGACCTTATACACTGCTAAGTCCTTAACTTCACAGAGCCTCCGTTTCTCTTCAGTAACATGGTTGTAATAATATCTACCTCCTAAGGCAGATGCGATGAGTAACCGGAATAATGAATAGAAAATGCTTAGCAAGGCCTGTCGCAGTGGCTGTTAACGCCTGTTAATCCCAGCACTTGGGGAGGCCAAGGCAGGAGGATCACTTGAGCTGGGGAGTTCGAGATCAACCTGGACAACATAGTGAGATCCTGTCTCCACAAAAAGTCAGCTGGGCGTGGTGGTGCGTGCCTGTACAACAGCTACTCCGTAGGCCAAGGTGCAAGTGTTCCTTGAGCCCAGGAACAGTGAGGTTGGAGTGAGATCGTGCCACAGCACTCCAGCCTGGACGACAGAGCAAGACCCTTTCTAAATAACTATAAATAAATAAATAAATGGATTTTAAAAATGAAATCCTTATTCTGGAGGATTGGCTACTTAGTGCAATTAAATAGAACGAAAATCTAGGGCTTCTGCCGGGCGCGGTGGCTCAAGCCTGTAATCTCAACACTTTGGGAGGCCGAGGCAGGCGGATCACGAGGTCGAGAGATCGAGACCAACCTGGTCAACATGGTGAAACCCTGTCTCTACTAAAGATACAAAAAATCAGCTGGGCATGGTGGCGCGTGCCTGTAATCCCAGTTACTCAGGAGGCTGAGGCAGGTGAATTGCTTGAACCCGGGAGGCGGAGGTTGCGGTGAGCCGAGATCGCGCCATGGCACTCCAGCCTGGGTAACAAGAGCGAAACTCTGTCTCAAAAAACTAAAAAAAAAAAAAAGAAAAAAGAAAATCTAGGGCTTCTGTAGCGGGCAAATTGTTCACCAACTCCAACCGGACCCCGCCTCCAAGCAGGCAAGCCCCGCCCACCCTGGCCAGCACTCTCGTCACCTCCCTGACGCGCCTGCGCAGGTCGGGCTTCCGGCGGCCGAGGCGATGCGGGTACTGGTGCGGCGCTGCTGGGGTCCCCGGCTGGGTAGTGTCGCCAGGCCTGGGAGGCCGAGTGCCCAGTGGCGAGCGCTAGTCGGACTCGGCGGGGAGGACGGCCGGGACGCCAGAGTCCGCGAGAAGCCGCCTTGGAGGGTGCTGTTCTTCGGCACGGACCAGTTCGCCCGCGAGGCGCTGCGATTCCTGCACGCCGCCAGGTATCCGGGCCAGGGATCCGGGAGCCCGGCGGCTGAAGGCGCCCAGGTCGCACCGGGATGGCCGGCCCCGGGGGTTTTGGATTTCTGGTCGCGGAAAGCAGCGGCGTCAGAGCGGTGTGAGCCCAGGTCTCGGCGTCTCCCGGTGCCCGGAAGTTGCGCCGCACCCGCGGGTCAGCCTTGGGGCGCCCAGCCCCTGCCCTGCGGTCTGCGCCGCCCACTCCCCGCCGCCTCTGTGGGTGCTCCGGCCGCCCCGCGACCTCCGCTGTGTCGAGCCGGGGCTAGGCGCTCTGCTTGCATACCTCGGGCTAGTCCCACGGCCTCCTGCCCGTTTTGCGTGTGGGGAATCCGGGGCTCAGAGGGGTTATGCGATTGTCCAAGGTCATCAGCAGCGGTGGTTAGGACCGAAACCGGGTCCCACTTCAGTGTCCCGCTTTGCAGCTCCTCCCCCTGCCTCTCATCCTTCGACACAAGAGTAACGTCTCGCTCCTTTGTTCCCCGTGCTCCTTGTATTCAAGGACATAGTCCAGAAACGAGCTGTTTTCAAAAGAATAAATGTGTAAATCGGAACTGTTAGGTATACATAGAGTATTTATAATATTTAACAAGTCTTGTTTACTGGGAAAGAAAATTATTTGAAATCCAACCAGTCCTGAGAGTCCATGGAATGTGGTGGCAATACCGTATATACTTCTCCATCGCTTTTTCCCAATTTCCCCATCCTGTCTTTTCCTGACGCAGTCCCCCTTCCGCTTATTTTTGTCACCTCCATCCCCTCTTCCCTGCAGATACTTGACAGCAGCTCTTCAAGCATTGAATCCTTTGTCAACCCCCGTGTGGTTTTTCTCCCTCCACACACCCGGAAGGAAACTCCCGGTTCCTTTTGCTACCCTCCGCGTGCTGCTGTTGTCACATGCGTCTCTCACTGCATTTATACATTTATACATTTATACCAACACTTTTTTTTTCTTTGAGGTGGAGTCTCTCTCTGTCATCCAGGGCTGGAGTGCAGTGGCCAGGTCATAGCTCACTGCCGCCTCGACCTCAAGGATCAAGCGATCCTCCCACCTCAGCTCGCAGAGTAGCTAGGACTACAGGCGCACACCACCATGCCTGATTTTTCAATTTTTTGCAGAGGCTGGTTTTCACCATGTTGCTCAGGCTGATCTCAAACTCCTGGGATCAAGCAGTCCTCCCACCTTGGCCTCCCAAAGTGTTGGGATTGCAGGCATGAGCCATCATTCCTGGCCTATCCTGACACTTCTGATGATGCTTCACATTACTCTTGTGCTTTCTTTTTAGTGTCCCGGAACATACTCGTAGCTCTTCTATGTGTGCATACGATACCTGTTTAATAAATGTACCTCCCCTGGACAATAGGATACTGTGCAGCAGGGTAAAAAGGATGAGCTAGTGCTACATGTACTGCCGTGGAATGATGCCCATAGTATAAATTTTTGTTTTTTTAAAAATAGTGTTTGAGGGCACGGTATGGCTCACACCTGTAATCCCAGATACATAGTGAGATTTGGGAGGCCGAGATGGGTGGATCTTCTGAGGTCAGGAGTTTCAGAACAGCCTGGCCAACATGGCGAAATCCCATCTCTATTAAAAATACAATAATTAGCCGGGTGTGGTAGCACACACCTGTAATCCCATCTACTCTGGAGGCTAAGGCAGAAGAATCGTTTGAACCCAGGAGGTAGAGGCTGCAGTGAGCCGAGGTCCTGCCACTGTACTCCAGCCTGGGTGACAGACCTCTATCTCAAAAAAAAAAAAAAAAAAAAAAAAAAAAAAAAGCGTTAAAATGGCATCATGGTTATGGTTAGAAATTCCATGGAGTCAAAGGGCATGCAATGGAAAGTTGCTTCCTTCCACCTCTGTTTAGCAGTTCCTAGTTCCTTTATCCAGAGACAGCCACTGTTTTCAGTTTCTTCTAGAAATGTTCAGTGCAATACAAGCTTATGTATATATAACCCATTTTTCAAAAAGATTCACATAATAGTATATATAGCATTGTTAAGAGAAAAAATGCAAAGCAGTATGTAATATCCCAATTGTGCAAAGTATCCATACTATATATGTTTCCATGTGCACAGGAAATACCTAGAATGATACTGTCCAAATAGTAGCCACTAGCCACGTACTGCTTTTTACATTTAAAATAATTAAGGAAAAAAATGAAAACTCAGGCCAGGCACAGTGGTTCATGACTGTAATCCCAGCACCTTGGGAGGCCGAGGCAGGTGGATCACTTGAGGTCAGGAGTTCAAGACCAGCCTGGCCAACATGATGAAATCCTGTCTCTACTGAAAAACACAAAAAATTAGCCAGGTGTGGTGCCGCTTACCTGTAATCCGAGCTACTCAGGAGACTGAGGCAGGAGAATCACTTGAACCCCGGTGGCGGGGGGTGCAGAGGTTGCAGTGAGTGAGATGGCTCCACTTCACTCCAGCCTGGGCGACAGAATGACTCCAATCTCAAAAAAGAAAAATGAAAACTCAGTCTCTCACAATAGTTTGAATCATTTAGCCCTAAATGCTTCATGAGTTTCATCATAAAAATACTTAGTGATACGTGAAGTAGTTTAGCTTTGAGTCATTGCCTTAACACTGTCACATATTTCTTCCACTCTCACTTAGGGAAAACAAAGAGGAAGAGTTAATCGACAAACTGGAGGTGGTCACAATGCCTTCCCCATCAACAAAAGGACTGCCAGTGAAGCAGTATGCCGTGCAGTCTCAGCTTCCAGTGTACGAGTGGCCGGACGTTGGATCTGGAGAATATGATGTTGGAGTAGTGGCTTCGTTTGGCCAACTTTTGAGTGAGGCTCTTATTCTTAAGTTTCCCTAGTAAGTTTTATTTGTAAGGAAATGTGGTATAGCAACCTTGGTCTTTATAAATGGACCTTGTATCTAAAATGTGGTCATTTGAACTCTATGCTTTCAGTAATTTTGTTTTTACTATTTTATTTTTGTGTACACGTTTGTTTAAAATCAGTGAATTTCTCTGCCAGGTTCAGGTAACTGAAGGGCCTTTATAAGTAATTTATATTGTTTAAATATATTTCTAAAGACAGGCTTAGAAATTCCAATTCAGTAACTTAGGATGTTCCCCTTCTCTGGTAACAGAGTCGATTTATACCTGGCTACTAGGCTTCCAGTCACAGATACAGCCAAGAAAACAGGCTATAGACCACTGAAAGCAAGACCAACCAACCCACTCTGTGTTATGGTATAGGGTTCACAATTCAAATCACCTGTATTCAAAGGAAAATTTACAGAATTTTTGTAAGCTGTGTTTGTTGTAAGAAAAGGGATCACTGCCATTAGTAAGCCAGCAGCTATAAGAGCCTGTGTCACGTTCAGGCCACATTAAAAAAGATTATTTGCTATAAGGCCACAGAGAGCAGCATTCAATCCAACATATGCTGATCCCTGTTCAGGTAGATTCCTTTCTACTTGTGGAAGCTGGTTAAGTTTTCTGGCTATGATATCAAAAATTGTTAGGTTTTCTTTGATAGTATCGGATTGATGATTTTCCGTCTTGAGCCTTATGCTCTCCTCCCAGCAGCTGGTGGGTGCCTCCCCAGGGTGTGTTCAGCCATGCTGGGGCTCGCTGCAGCCTTCGCTCAACTCGCCTGGGCACAGCCATATTTGGCTGACATTTTCTTTTGAAGTACTAAGGAACATTTTATTTGGGCATGAACTGTCAAAATGTATTTAACTCCTTATCACCCTCTATGAGCTTTTATCCACCTTCATTTAAATTTCATATATATGCTGACAATGCCCAAATTGGTCCCTCCAGCTCAGCTCTGTCCCCAAACTCTAGGCCCCCAATACCTACTGCCTCCACAGCTCTGCTTGGATGTCTGATGGCTACTTTACATTCAAGATACCCAAAGCATCTCCTGAAATCCTTATCTCAATAAATGGCTACTCCATCTTTCTAGCTGCTTGCACCAAAATCGGGGAGTCATGCTTGATTCCTTATACCCCATATCCAATCCATCAGGAAATCCTATTGGCTCTGCCTTCAAAATCTATATAAATATTCTGTCTGTATTGCTTGAACCTGGGAGGCAGAGGTTGCAGTTAGGCAAGATCACACCACTGCATCCAGCCTGGCAACACAGCAAGACTCTGTCTAAAAAAAAAGAGAATATGGGCCGGGCGCGGTGGCTCAAGCCTGTAATCCCAGCACTTTGGGAGGCCGAGGCGGGTGGATCACGAGGTCAAGAGATCGAGACCATCCTGGTCAACATGGTGAAACCCTGTCTCTACTAAAAATACAAAAAATCAGCTGGGCATGGTGGCATATGCCTGTAATCCCAGCTACTCAGGAGGCTGAGGCAGGAGAATTGCCTGAACCCAGGAGGCGGAGGTTGCGGTGAGCCGAGATCGCGCCATTGCACTCCAGCCTGGGAAACAAGAGCAAAACCCCGTCTAAAAAAAAAAAAAAAAAAAAAAAAAAGAGAATTTGTGTGTCATCACTTCCACTGCTGCCACTCTTTCCTCCATGACTACAGAAGCGTCCTAACTGGTCTCTATTTCTATTCTTGGCCCTGTTAGTCTTCTACCAACCCAGCAGCCAAAATGATCCTTTACTTATTTATTTCTATTTTATTGTTTTTAGAGACAGTCTTACTGTCACCCAGGCTGGAGTACAGTGTTGCTGTCACAGCTCATTGCAGCCTCAGACTCAAGGGATCTTCCTGCCTCAGCCTCCTGAGTAGCTAGGACTATAGTAATGTGCCACTACACCCAGCTAACCTTGTTTTTTTTTTTGGAGAGACAGGGGTCTTGCCATGTGGCCCGGGCTGGTCCCAAACTCCTGGATGCACATAGTCTTCCTGCCTTGGCCTCCCAAAGTTTTGGGATTACAGGCATGAGCCACTGTACCTTGCCTCAAAGTGATCCTCTTAAAATAGAAGTCAGATCATGTCACTCTGCTGGAAATCCTCTGGTAGTTTTCTGTCTTACTTAGAATAAAAGTTAGGCCAGGCCTAATTGGTCTCCCAGCTGTGCCTTGAACTTACCGAGCATTTACCTCCCTCAAGATCTTTGTACTTAATGTTGCCTCTGCCTGGAATGCTTTTCTCCCATATATATTCGTTGTTATTTCCTTACCTCCTTCCTGTTCTTGTTCAAGTGTTTTCTTTTTGGTAATGCTTTCTCTGACCACTATTAAAATTGTAATCTGTCCCTCTCATATTCCTCTCTGCTTTATTTTCTCCGTGGCTCTCAGCATCATCTGGCAAACCTTTTACATATTTTATTTTTTCTTGCTTATCTCCCATTCTTTGTACATAAACTCTCTGAAGGCAAGATTTTTTTTTTTTTTCTGTCTGGTTCACTGCTGCTTGTATGCCTAACACTTACAACGGTGCCCGTACATGGAGTGTATTCAGTGAATGTTTGTTAGATTGGACTGAACAGTGAGACTTAGAATATAAGACATTCTCATATATACATGCTCCCAAGGGCACAGCTATGCTGATGGAGACATCATTAAACTAATGACAGATTAGTAAAGTATTTAAATTGCACATCAGTGGATGATAGGTATATTGGGGTAAACAGCAAAGGTGAATGGATCATTTGGTGGGGATTATTTTAGGCTGGGCGTGGTGGCTCATGTCTGTGATCCTAGCACTTTGGGAGGCGGAGTATGGTCACTTGAAGCCAGGAGTTGGAGATCAGCCTGGGCAACATGGTCAGACCCTATCTCTACAAAAAATTTAAAAAAATCTAGACATGGTGGATGCACCTGTAGTCTCAGCACCCTAGAAGGCTGAGGTGGGAGGATCTCATGGCCTGGGAGGTTGAGGCTGCAGTGAGCCAGCAGCCTGGGCAACAGAGTAGTAAGACCCTGTCTCAAAAGAAGAAAGAAAAGAAGGGAAGGGGGAGAGAGAGAGAGAGAGAGAGAGGGAGAGAGAGAGAGAGAGAGAGAGAGAGAGGGAGAGAGAGAGAGAGAGAGAGAGGGAGAGAGAGAGAGAGAGAGAGAGAGAGGAGAGAGAGGGAGGAGAGAGAGAAATGCTGAGTGTATGATTGCTGAGAAATGCTGGGTGTATGATAAATTATATTGTTTGTTGAGAACCATGGCAAGGAAAACCTGGGCACCCCCCCCCCCCAGCAAGTGGAAAACTGCTTGGGGCATTCTAAAGTAGCAAAACAGTATATGTATATCATACACCCGTTAAAACAATTCTTTAAGCACAGGATATGCTCCCCAGCATCTCCCTGGGTGTGGGGTAGGGAGCTGAGGCAATTCTCCTGCCTCAGACTCCCCAGTAGCTGGGATTACAGGTGCCCGCCACTGCACCCTCCTAATTTTTTTTTCTTAGTAGAGATGGGTTTCACCATCTTGGCCAGGCTGGTCTCGAACTCCTGACCTCTTGATCCACCTGCCTCAGCACCCCAAAATGCTGGGATTACGGGCATGAGCCACTGTACCTGGCCGGGTGTCTGCTTCTTAATGCCTCCAGTGCTGCCTGGGTGGGGGTCTCTGTGGCTGACCCAGTCTTAGTAAAGGAAAAGCTTATTTTGGACAGTCTGTATGTAAACCAAGTGAAGTGAGGGTAGTTATATTACTATACTATAAAATTAGAATTGTTTATGAGATGCATAATAGGGTTTGAGTGGTTCTCTTATAGTCATAAGTGCATTTTAAAATTTTATTTAAAAACTCCCAGACATCCTGGGCTATTGTAGGACATCTTTAGAACAGAGAATAGTTGTTCTGGCTCTGTTTTAAATTAAATTTCATTGGTTTCTTATGGCAAGAGAATGAATTTACCTTTAACCTTTTCCTTTCAGGTGATACAAGACTTAGACTTAACTCTCAGGTTTTCAAAATTTCTGGGCAAGTTCCATAATGAAAAGTAGCGTAATAGCTTAGGTAGTGGTAGTGAAGTGGTAACGCCCACTGACATACTAATCTCTGCATTTTCTAACTCAGTGGCATACTGAATGTCCATCCCAGTTGCCTCCCGAGATGGCGTGGCCCAGCCCCTATAATCCATACAGTGCTTCATGGAGACCCTGTTGCTGGAGTCACAATTATGCAAATTAGGCCTAAAAGGTAGAACATATTTCCCTTTCTCAAGATTTTTGTGATTTTAAATGTTGATGTCAAGCCTGTTTGTGGGGCAATGGATGAATGAGTGGCACTCACTAATTTCTGTGACTTCAGAGCGCTGCTTTTGCTTTTATATCCTTTCTGTTTTTTTCCTGGTTTTTAACATAAACCATATGTCTTTTGGTATTTATGCAGGATCTGGTTAAAGTCCATATGAAAATTGTAATTTGTTAACTGAAATAAGTTATATTATTAATACTTTCTATAAAAGACACTGTATAAATGAGAGATGGGATTTTTGTATGTTAATTGTTTTGAATCTTGGTTTTGCTGGCCATGGTTTCTAAACTGTGGCCAAAAATTTTTTGGAACCTGAAATAAGAATATATTGTATATCAATATCAATATGCAATATAATTGTCCTAAAACATTGGTTTTTTTTCCTATCATACTTGCAGTCTAGAAACAATTATTTAAACTTGAGTGTCTTCAGTCTCTTGCCTGTTACCACCTAATTTCCCCTCAAAAAAGAATAATTCACAAGTTCACAGGAACAGCATGGTGTCTGGGCTTTGCTTTAATTGACTTCAGAAAACAAGAGAGGGAGTAGATGAGACAAGAGTGGCGAAACCTTGGTAATTTTAAAATTTGAGCCAGGCATTGCAGCTCACGCCTGTAATCCTAACACTCTGGGAGGCCGAGGTGGGAGTATCACTTGAGTCCACGAGTTCAAGACCAGCCTGGGCAACATACAAAAAAATTTAAAAAAATTAGCCAGGTGTGTTGGTATGCACCTATATAGTCCCAGCTAGTCAGAGCTACTCAAGAGGCTGAGGTGAGAGAGTCTCTGCAGCCTAGGAGGTTAGGCTGCGGTGAGGTAAGACTGCACCACTGCATCCCAGCCTGGGCAACAGAGCAAGAACCTGTCACACACACACAAAAATCTGATGTATATATGTTGATTCATTATACTGTTCACTCTTTTGGCAAGTGTTTGCAGTTTTTCACAATAAACATTTTATTAAAGCTTCTAGATTAGAAATAGAATTAACAAAAACACAGTTAAAAAATTTAAATAGGCTGGGCACTGTGGCTCACGCCTGTAATCCCAGCACTTTGGGAGGCCAAGGAAGGCAGATCACGAGGTCAGAAGATCGCGACCATCCTGGTTAACACGGTGAAACCCTGTCTCTACTAAAAATACAAAAAATTAGCCAGGCATGGTGGCATGTGCCTGTAGTCCCAGCTACTTGAGAGGCTGAGGCAGGAGAGTCACTTGAACCCAGGAGGCGGAGGTTGCAGTGAGCCAAGATCGTACCACTGCGCTCCAGCCTGGGCAACAGAGCAAGACTCTGTCTCAAAAAAAAAAAAAAATTTAAATAAAGCATATTTCTCATGAAAACCTATGGCCAGTGTTTACAGAGCTTGATATAAAATATCAGACTTGTGGGATTACGAATATGCTTGCATTTGCTTTATTTATTAATTTTTTTTAAGATGGAGTCTCAATCTGTGGCTCAGGCTGGACTGCAGTGAAATGATCTTGGCTCACTACAACCTCTGCTTCCTGGTCCAAGCGATTCTCCTGCCTCAGCCTCCTGAGTAGCTGGGACTACAGGCACGTACTACCATGCCCAGCTAATTTTTCATATTTTTGATAGAGATGGAGTTTTATCCTGTTGGCCAGGCTGGTCTCAAACTCCTGACCTCAAGTGATCTGCCCTTCTTGGCCTCCCAAAGTGCTACGATTACAGGCCTGAGCCACCACTCCTGGCCCTACCACCTACCATGGTGATAATCTAGGTAAAACTCTTATCCTTTGAGGAAGGGACTATAGAAAGAAATAATTATGAATTTCCTAACTGTACTTCCGTGGAAAATAAATTATTTGCCTTATGCTTTTCATACACAAATAGAAATTTTTGATGCTATTACTAGTGGTATAATTTTTCTGTAATTGTAATTAAATTCCTGATATGCAACTGTATCCTTTTTTTCCTTCAGGAGAAACAAATGTAGAATCTAAATACAGGCCATATTTTGTTCTCCTGTCTTTCAAACTGACGTATCTCCCTTGCCAGTGGCTGACAGCCAAATTAATAGCCAGTGATAAACTATCTTTATTTTTTTATTTTTTAAGAGATAGGGGCTGGCTGTATTGGCCAGGCTGGTCTCAGACTCAGGGATCAAGCAATCCTGCTGCCTCAGCCTCCTGAGTAACTGGGACTACAGGCATGCAGACCCTGTACCCGGCTTGTATCTTTCTGTATGTAGGCAAACAGTGATTCAGGAGATAGTAATTATTGTTATTATTTGCTTTTCATTTTTTTCTAGGTTCGATGTAGGCCCGATTCTCAAACAAGAAACTGTTCCTGTGCCACCCAAGAGCACTGCAAAGGAATTGGAAGCAGTGTTGTCAAGACTGGGTGCCAACATGGTATAAATCTCCAATACCCTACTGCTTTTTACTCATTTAGTGGGTTTCCTAAGTGGTTATGAAAAGAACAATTTTGTGACTTCTAATTTTCTTAAAAGCAAAAAGAGAGGCCGGGCACAGTGGCTCAAGCCTGTAATCCCAGCACTTTGGGAGGCCGAGGCGGGTGGATCACGAGGTCAAGAGATCGAGACCATCCTGGTCAACATGGTGAAACCCCGTCTCTACTAAAAATACAACAAATTAGCTGGGCATGGTGGCGCATGCCTGTAATCTCGGCTACTTGGGAGGCTGAGGCAGGAGAATTGCCTGAACCCAGGAGGCGGAGGTTGCGGTGAGCCGAGATCGCACCATTGCACTCCAGCCTGGGTAACAAGAGCGAAACTCCATCTCAAAAAATAAATAAATAAAAATAAAACAAAAAAGAGTAGTTTCTATCTTTGGCTTTCTAAAAATTAGCCTGCCATTTGTGATTCCATGTACATCTTTGAGAATTTACAAAGGTAGGTACTGAATAAAGGCTTTCAAATGAAACAGGTGATCTTATATTGCCTACTACATGTCATACATAGTGAGGCCTTAGACTATTCTTCCCAATTTCACTCTCCTCACTTTCATATGTATACCTTGCATTCCCATCAGAATGAACTAAGCAATTTCCTAAGTGGCTCTTAGCTTTCCATTTCTGTGCCTGGCTTCCAGTCATTTATACTGGAATTCTGCTGACCATTCCACCTATAGATGATCTTTCTTCTCTCTCTGTATTTGTATATATAGCTCATTGAAACTGCATGAGTAGAATCTGGGTAAATGTTTAATGATTAAATTTATATTTTCCATATGAACGAGTTAATTTTAAATGGAAGAAGATTTTTTTTCCCACCTGTATAGATGATATTTCCTATTCTAGGCACTTGGCTAACAAGTGATCTTATAATAGTGGCTGCTGTTTATTGAGCTTTGGCTTGTGAAGACTGTTCTAGATACTCTATGGACTTTTTTTTTTTTTTTCTGTTTTTAAAGATGGGGTTTCACCCTGATGGCCAGGCTGGTCTTGAACTCCTGACCTCAGGTGATACACCCACCTTGGCCTCCCAAAGTGCTAGGATTACAGGCGTGAGCCACTGCGCCCAGCTATGGACCTTTTTTTTTTTTTTAATCCTCCCAACTTTGAGGTAGTTGTTGCTCTTGATTGTTTCACAGGTGATGACATTGAAGGCCAGAGACAAGGTAAGTAACTTTTCCACAATGAGACAGCTGGTAGGTGGTGGAACTAGGATTTGAACCCAGAGCCGGGTAACTCCATAGTACATTCTCCTGTGAGGTTTCACTGCCTTCTTACCATGGGGTGAGAGTGTATATAGCCACACGCTATCTGATGCCAGAGCTTCCACGCATTCTCTAGAAGTGAATCAATGACCTGTACTCTACAGAGAGCAGAATCTCTACTGAGGGTTCCCTAAATAGACACCTGTCCTCACAACTTAAGCCAGTGTATTACCTTACCCTGCCACATAGTTCTTTTAAAGTTATAGGTTCAGCCTTGATGAGCCAATAGTAAAATTTTTTTTTTAATTTGAGAAAAAGAAAAGAAAGTTATAGGTTATTTCATAGTACTGAATTGTAATGTGTTTCTGCTTTTGTTCTTCTGTTCATTTTTAATGTATCACTCTTTTTTTTTTGTAGCTCATTTCAGTTTTGAAAAAATTGCCTGAAAGTCTGAACAATGGAAGACAGCAGCCAACAGAGGGGGCAACTTATGGTGAGTGAAGGCTACAGAGACTCTCACATCTTTCTAAAGGTTCTGCATGTCACTGTAGCATCTGAACATCCTGACTTCTTAGCTGTGCTTTTCCCATAATTTTGAGTAAAGTTTGAGTGCCCACTTTTGTGTGCTTTTCCGAAGAATGGTGGAAAGCATTCTCTCTCCCTCTTAGCATATAGCCTTATGAAGGATTGAGCATTTTTTTTCCAACTTTTTTAGTTTGAAAATATTAAATAGAAATAATTAGAAAGACTGGTATAATAAATACCAGTTTAGCCCAGAGTCAACAATTATTAATGTTTGTCCATATTTTCTTTCTTTCTATGTATTTAGTATATATATTTAAAATTTTCCTTACTCACTTGGAAGTGTGAATCATGATCTTTCATCTCTAGGCAGTTTAGTGTGCCTTTCCTAAGAAAAATGAAGAATTTCCTAATAGCATCCAATGTTCAGTCTGTATTTAAGTGTTCCTAATTGTCTACAAATTTATAGTTTTATTTTTCCAACTCGGATTTAGTTGTAATTAGTTGTTATGTCTCTTTAGTCTTTTTCGTTCTTTCTTTCTTTCTTTCTTTCTTTTGAGACAGAGTTTCGCTCTTATTACCCAGGCTGGAGTGCAAAGGCGCAATCTCGGCTCACCGCAACCTCCGCCTCCTGGGTTCAGGCAATTCTCCTCCCTCAGCCTCCTGAGTAGCTGGGAGTCTCTTTAGTCTTTAAAAACTTCCTCTTTTTTTCCTTGCTCTATGTCATTGACTTTTTGAGACCAGGCCAGTTATTTGTTTGTTTCCTTCCAGTGTTGTTTTACTTGTTCCCTATCTCTTACATCTCCTGTAATTAGTTCTAAAGGTTTAACTGGACTCAGGCTTAAAGTTTTTGGAAAGAGTATGTTTCAGCGACATTTGTTTTTTTTCTTTTTTTCTTTCTTTTTTTTTTTTTTTTTAGTAGAGTTAGGAGTACAAACATTTGTTTCAGTTTGTTTTTAATTCTAGGGATTGCTTTTTATTTTCCTTTATGATTAAATTTTATTTTTTGAATATGTAAAACATATACCTGATTCAAAAGTTAATATACTTAGAGAAGTCTCACTTTGTCCTCTACAGTCTTAAGGTACCAATTGAGTAAGCCAAGATATCAGGTAGTACTAAAGCAAGTGAAGCTAAGTGTGATCCCTTGGTTGAGATGGTGACCACCAGATCTTTCCATTGTTAAGGTGTGTTTTCCCTTTTGCAATTAGCAGGTACTCTGTGGGGTAATACTCTGGCACTGTGCAAATATCCTGTTTCCCAACAGTCTTTCACATAATAGTTTTAATACAGATTGATATTCCTTGCTGAAATGAATTATTTCACTATGGATTACAAAATGGCAATTTTCTAATTCCTTTTACATTTATTTAATAGCTGGTGTTGTTTTTCCTCATTAATTGGAGATAAATTTTAGTTAATCTTAAAATGGGGCCAGGGGCTTAATTCCTTCTCTTTAATTATAGTAAGAAGTTGGTGCCATTAATTGCCTTCAATTCTGGTGTCAGATGCATTCTTTTTAGTATCATCTGACATGTAGATGTTAATTGATGGTGTTTTACAGTCATAATTCTTTGTGTTGCTCAAATTTCCCATATTTGGCCAGTGGGAGCCCCTTAAATTTGGCCCCTGCATTCTGTTAACACTCTTCCCTTTGCTCTAGTCTGGAGTCCTTCCTTGGTTCCACCACAATATGTCCCAGGCTCCCCTTTTGTATTCTCTGGCCCACATTGAAATCAGCCAGTTATCCAGGGAGCCCTTGTTCATTTTAGTGGGGTTGATAGTTAGAGACCCTCTGGTACAACAGTTTGTTACAAGATAAGGTATCTGTGGATGAAACTAGAAATTATATTTTTGAAAAGTATTCAAGCTCATGTTGTTTATGATTCAAATTTATCATTAGGGTTTTCCTTATATTTTGTCACACTGACTTTTTAAAGAAAATGTTAACGTATTTATTTGCCATGCATAACATTGTTTCAGTATTACAATACTAGTATTACTACCAACAGTAAAAATACTGAGTAAGATTTAAGGTTTCTTTACAGTTTTTCTTTTTGGTCCTTAGAATATATTCTAAGGGTGTACAGTCAGATTACTGTCTTCAAAACTTTCTAGTAATGATTATTTTTTCCATGTGGTTTTGTTACCTAGCTTCATACATAGTTAAATTTTAGTTTTTTTTTTAATTTTTTTTTTTTTTTTTTTTTTTTAAGACGGAGTTTCACTCGTTACCCAGGCTGGAGTGTAATGGCGCGATCTTGGCTCACCGCAATCTCCGCCTCCTGGGTTCAGGCAATTCTCCTGCCTCAGCCTCCTGAGTAGCTGGGATTACAGGCATGTGCCACCATGCCTAGCTAATTTTTTGTATTTTTAGTAGAGACGGGGTTTCACCATGTTGACCAGGATGGTCTTGATCTCTCGACCTCGTGATCCACCCGCCTTGGCCTTCCAAAGTGCTGGGATTACAGGCTTGAGCCACCATGCCTGGCAAATTTTTTTATTTTAGGGGTTGCTTTATTTTCCTTTATGATTAAATTTTATTTTTTGAGTACCTAAAATATTTACAAAAGTTAAAACAACTGAAAAAGGTATACTCATGGAAGTCCTCCTTCCATCTCTATCTCATCTAACCCCATCCCTCCCTCTATAGGTAACTATTTTTATTAGTTTCTGATTTAGCCTTCCAGTGTTTCCTTTTGCCAAAATAAGCAAACGTATATGTAGTGTTATTTTTCTTTTTTTTTTTTTTTTTTTACAAAAGTTGGCCTAAAATACATATTCTTCTATGCCTTTGATTTTTCACTTAATATTGTATCTTGGAGACTACTTCCTATTAGTAAGAAAAGATTTTTTTTTTCTTTCTTTTTTTTTAAAGATAGGGTCTCTGTTGCCCAGGCTGGAGTGCAATAATGTGATCATGGCTCACTGAAACCTCTACCTCCCAGGCTCAAGCAATCTTCCCACCTCAGCCTCCCAACTAGCTGGGACTACAGGTGCGTTCCACCATGCCTGGCTAATGTTTTACTTTTTGGAGAGGCAAGTTCTAACTATGTTGCTCAGGTTGGTCTTGAACTCCTAGACTCAGCCCATCCTCCTGCCTCGGCCTCCCAAAGGACTGAGATTACAGGCATGAGCCACCATGCCTGGCCTCCTTTTTGTTTTTGATGGTGGCATAGTCCTCAGTTGTGTGATTATATCATGATTTACCCAACAGATGTCTTTTTGATGGGCATTTGGGTTGTTTCCAATCTTTTGCTATTTCAAATAATACTACTGGTAAGATTAGGAAGATAACATGAGCATAGTTATTTGTAATAGTATAGTAAAACTACTTCGAGTAGTTTTAATGCACATTATTCCTGTCAGTAATGTTGAAGATCTTTTCATATATTTAAGAACTATTTGCATTTCTTTTTTTCTGGGTAGTGTTGTATCTTTTGCCCATTTTTCTATCAACATCTTTGTCTTTTTCTTCTCAGTTTTTTGAATACTTGTATTTTATAATAGAGAAATTAGTCCTCTCTGAGATAATTTGCAAATTCAGTTTGTCATTTTTTTGATTTAACTTATGGCATTTCTTTTTCTCTCATTTAAAAAAAAAGCTTATTTTGAGTGGGCATGGTAGCTCACACATCTAATCCTAGCACTTTAGGAGGATGAGGCAAGTGGATCACTTAAGGTTAGGTGTTTGAGACTAGCGTGGCAAACATGGCGAAACACTGTCTTTCCTAAAAATACAAAAAGTTAGCCAGGCATGGTAGTGCACGCCTGTAGTCCCAGCTACTTGGGAGGCTGAGGCACAAAGATCTCTTGAGCCTGGGAGGTGGAGGTTGCAGTGAGCTGAGATTGTGCCACTGCAACTTGGGCAACAGAGCAAGACCCTGCCAAAAATAAAGTTATTTTTATATAGTCTCATTTCATAGTTAGAAGGGCATTTTCTATTCCCAGGATATAAAGAAGTTCATTCATGTTTTCTTTTAGTATTTATATGATTATTTGTTATTTTTACTTGCTATGTGGAAACTTTTGAACATATAGAAAAGTTGAGAGATTAGAATGAATTCTCTGGTATCTCTTATTCAATAACAATAGTTGTCAATTCATGGACACTGACCCTGATGCTCATTTTTGCTCTTGGCTTTATCTTGTAGCCCCTAAGATTTCTGCTGGTACCAGTTGTATAAAATGGGAGGAACAAACTTCAGAACAAATATTCAGACTTTACCGTGCCATTGGAAATATAGTAAGTGAGAAGTCAGGTTGCAGTTCTACCAAATTGGCTTTCTATGTGTGTAATTTGCTTTCTAAATATTTTTTTTTGGGAATAATCCCAAATAAAAGGATCCCAAGTAAAAGGTTGATCTTATGAACAAAACCTAGGAAACCTGAAATTTTTTCTTAAAGTATTCTTTAAACTGTTTAAAGTGTTTATAGAGGCCTTAGAATTCACAAAGCACTTTTAAATATATGTACATCACAGTTTCACATAACCAACTTTTACTATTCTACTTCATAGGTGAGGGGAAAGAAAATGAGATTACTAGCAGGGATGTCCAGTCACTAAAAAATGAATTTAAATCTTCTTACTCTTAATCCACTGCTTTTTCCAGTATGTCTTTCTGCCTTTGGCCATTTTTTTACAATAAGATTTTTAAATCATTGATTTCTATATATGGCACATCAAGTGTAGTAATATAACAGTTTTTAAAAATGTTTGAGTTAAATTCCCAATTCATTGATAAATTTGTGGGGTGTTTTTCTTTCATTTCAATAGCTACTTGTGTGTTATTTCAACACTGGGCTTACTGTATGTGTGTGTTTTTGTGTTTTATTTTATTTTTTGAGACAGGATCTGGCTCTGTCTCCCAGGCAATCTTGGCCCACTTCAACCTCTGCCTCCCAGGCTCAAATTAGCCTCCTGTGACAGCCCCTGAGTAGCTGCAGCCACAGGCACACACTGCCACACCTGGGTCATTTTTGTATTTTTTTGTAGAGATGAGGTTTTGCCATGTTGTCCAGGCTGGTCTCGGACTCCTGACGTCAAGTGATCCACTCTCCTCAGCCTCCCGAAGTGCTGGGATTACAGGCATGAACCACTGTGCCTGGCCGTGTGTGTGTGTGTGTGTGTGTGTATGTGTGCGCGCGCGTGCGTATTTTTAAATAAGATGGAGTTTCACCATGATGGCCAGGCTGGTCTTGAACTCCTGACCTCAGGTTATCCACCCACCTCGGCCTCCCAAAGTGCTAGGATTACAGGCATGAGCCACCGCACCTGGCCAAGTGTGTGGTTTTTAATGGACCATCTCTGTTATTCATGTTGGGTTAAATGGGGAACTACCATTGGATATGTATAGCATGCTACATTCTTCAATAAGGAGGATCACAGACTCATGTTACAGTTATTATTATCCTATTTTAAAGTTGAAGAAATCGAGGCTTAAAGTAGATAATTGTTTTTTTTTTGTTTGTTTGTTTGTTTGTTTGTTTTTGAGACGGAGTTTTCGCTCTTGTTACCCAGACTGGAGTGCAATGGCGCGATCTCGGCTCACTGCAACCTCCGCCTCCTGGGTTCAGGCAATTCTCCTGCCTCAGCCTCCTGAGTAGCTGGGATTACAGGCACACGCCACCATGCCCAGCTAATTTTTAGTATTTTTAGTAGAGACGGGGTTTCACCATGTTGACCAGGATGGTCTCGATCCCTTGACCTTGTGGTCCACCCGCCTCGGCCTCCCAAAGTGCTGGGATTACAGGCTTGAGCCACCGCGCCCGGCGATAATTGTTATTAAGTGTTACTCAATGTCATGTTGCTAGTTAATGAAAATCAGTTAATGAACAAGATCTGTTTTACTTCAAATCCTCTCACTTTCCTGCTGCCACAGAATGGCCTCAGGAAACAAGGACTTCAGAGCCAGGCGGAGCTGGGTTCCATCTTGACTCTGCTACTTCCTAACTTTGTAGACTCAGGAAAGTTATTTAACCTCTAAGCTTTAGTTTGTTCATTGGAACATCAGGGCTGGTAATAATGGATTTACAGCATCTTGTATAGTATCTGGCACAGAATAGATACTCATTAAATGATAGCTGCTATTATTCATTCATTCATTAAACAAAATATTTATTGAAGCCCTATTATATGTCAAGCAGTGTACTAGGTACTATAAGATACAGGTGGTGTGGGAGGACAGACCAAAGAAAAAAAAAAAAAAACCAGACCAGGCACGGCACGCTGGCTCACACCTGTAATCCTAGCACTTTGGGAGTCCAAGGTGGGTGTATCACCTGAGGTCAGGAGTTTAAGACCAGGCTGGCCAACATGGTGAAACCCTGTCTCTACTAAAAATACAATGAAAAGAGTAGCTGGGCATGGTGGCATGCAGCTGTAATCCCAGCTACTAGGAAGGCTGAGGCAGGAGAATCACTTGAACCCAGGAGGCAGAGGTTGCAGTGAGCCGAGATCACACTGCTGTACTCTAGCCAGGGCAACAGAGCAAGACTCTGTCTCCAAAAAAAAAAAAAAAAAAAAAAAAAATCTATGAAGAATTCCTTGATGAAAATAAAAATAGGATCATATAGAATAACTGGAGGTTGTTTTAGATTGGTGATGGGAAAAACCTCTGTTCGACTCTGACACTTAAATTGAGATCTGAAAGACAATAAAGAGCCAGCCATGCCTAGATCAGAGAAGACTATTGTAGGCAGAGGAACAGCTAGTACAAAACCCAAGGTGGTATAACCCAGATAAAGAATCGCAAGAAAAGAAAACTACAGATTAATGTCCCTGAATATAGATATGCAAGTGCTCAACAGAATTAGCAAACTAAATCCAGTAACATATAAGAAAGGATTATATACCATGACTAACTGGGATTGTCTCACTCTGTCACCTAGGCTGGAGTAATTTCAGCTAACTGCAACCTCTGCCTTCTGGGTTCAAGTAGTTCTCCTACCTCAGCCTCCTAAGTAGCTGGGACTACCAGCATGTGCCACCATGTTCAACTAATTTTTTTTATATTTTTAGTAGAGATGGGGTTTCACCATGTTGGCCAGGCTAGTCTGAAACTCCTGACCTCGGGTGATCCATGCCCAGCAAAGCGCAGAACTGGCTTTGCTACTCACTAGCTGGGTCCAACCTTGGAAAGTAGTTGCATTTCTCTGAGCCTCACTCTCTTCATCTATGAAATAGAGGATTGAACTACACTCTGAAAATGCAGTCATTTCAGAAATTTGAGAGAACTTATTTCCTGGTGTATGTTAATTTTTATTAACATATTTAAAATTTATTAATATTTAAATTAGGCTCTAGGATCTCAGGTATGTTGGAAGTGTGTTATATGATAAAGGTGTTATTTCACACTGGAGGGAGGGGTAAGATGGATTATCATCTAGTAAATAGCATTGGGATAACTGGCCAACCATTGGAGGGGGAAGCCTTCAAATCTTATCTTTTAAAATCACAGAAACTGCTATATTATAACAATGCATATGTAGTTAACAATACTGTACTGTATACTTACAATTTGTTAATAGAGTAGACTTTTCTTTTTTTTTTTTTTTGAGACGGAGTTTCGCTCTTGTTACCCAGGCTGGAGTGCAATGGCGCGATCTCGGCTCACCGCAACCTCCGCCTCCTGGGTTCAGGCAATTCTCCTGCCTCAGCCTCCTGAGTAGCTGGGATTACAGGCACGCACCACCATGCCCAGCTATTTTTTTTGTATTTTTAGTAGAGACGGGGTTTCACCATGTTGACCAGGATGGTCTCGATCTCTTGACCTTGTGATCCACCCGCCTCGGCCTCCCAAAGTGCTGGGATTACAGGCTTGAGCCACCGCGCCCGGCCTAGAGTAGACTTTTCTTATGTGTTTTTTACCATAATAAAGTCAGGCTGGGCACAATGGCTAACACTTGTAATCCCAGCGCTTTGGGAGGCTGAGGCAGGTGTATCACGAGGTCAAGAGATCAAGATCATTCTGGCCAACATGGTGAAACCCCGTCTTTACTAAAAATACGCATGGTGGTGCATGCCTGTAGCCCAGCTGCTTGGGAGACTGAGGCAGGAGAATCGCTTGAACACAGGAGGTGGAGGTTGCAGTGAGTCAAGATCGCACCACTGCACTCCACCCTGGCGAAAGAGTGAGACTCTGTCTTAAAAAAAAAAAGGGCTGGACACTGTGGCTCACACCTGTAATCCCAGCACTTTGGGAGGCCAAGGCTGGCAGATCACAAGGTCAGGAGATGAAGACCATCCTGGCCAGCATAGTGAAACCCTGTCTCTACTAAAAATAGAAAAATTAGCTGGGCGTGGTGGCGTGCGCCTGTAGTCCCAGCTGCTCTGGAGGCTGAGGCAGGGGAATCGCTTGTACCCAGGAGGCAGAGGTTGCAGTGAGCCTAGATCGCACCACTGCATTCCAGGCTGGCAACAGAGCAAGACTCTGTCTCAAAAAATATATATAAAAGTAAAATCACAAGGACTGGAAAATAGCACAATTGAACAATTTGACAATATTTAATCTTAAAAGTGTGGGGTAGGCCTTTTTAAGTATGATATCAATCACTGAAGTCATGAGAAAGAAGACTGACAAATATAACTATAAAAATAAAAAACTTATGCATGGAAAAAATGACTGTCCCCAAGATTAAAAGTCAACAAACTGAGGAAAATCTTCATAAAACATATAAGAGTTAAAAGGCTAATTTCCTAAATATATAAAATATTTTTGCAAATTAATGAGATTGGCCATCCCAGTTTTTAAAAACAGGCGCAGTGGCTCACGCCTGTAATCCCAGCACTTTGGGAGGCCAAGGTGGGTAGATCATGAGGTCAGGAGATCAAGACCATCCTGGCCAACATTGTGAAACCCCATCTCTACTAAAAATACAAAAAAATTACCTGGATGTGGTAGTGCACGCCTGTAGTCCCAGCTACTTGGGAGGCTGAGGCAGGAGAATTGCTTGAACCCAGGAGGCGGAGATTGCAGTGAGCTGAGATCATGCTGCTGCACTACAGCCTGGGCAACAGTGCGAGACTCCATCTCAAAACACACACACAACACACACACACACACACACACACACACACACTCCATCTCAAAACACACACACACACACACACACACACAGGGCTTAAATAGGCAGGTTACAGAGACATAAATTAAAAGTGCCCATAAATACATGGATGGCTCCTCAGCTTCACTAGTAATAAACAGCAAGAGATTAAAAATTTTTTTCTCACTTATCCAGGCAGTTTAGCAATAAAATGTTGATGCTGTTTAACCTAGGCATTCCACTTTAAAAACAGAAAAGCCAAAAATTATTATCCAGAAATGTAGAAGTACTCAAAGATATATCTATAAGCCTGTTACCCTAGTTTATAATGTTGTAAATACCAAGAAATTGTAAACAACTGAAATATCTATCATAAAGATATTTGTTGCACAAATTATATATTCATAAAATGGGCTACCATGCAGCAGATAGAGTGAAATAGGTAAGTATGTACTGATGAAACATCAATGGCTTATGGCCAAATAACAAAAGTCCTTGTAAAACAGTATTATGCAGGACTTTTTGCTCCTTAGCTCAGCTGAAATCTGGGTTCTTGTCTCACAACCAGGAAAAATTAGGGACGTGGACACATTGAAACGTGAGAAGAGTGGAATTTATTAAAAGAAAGCTCTCAGCAAAAAAGGGGATCCTGCCAGCAGGCTCCCACCCCACAGATTGACTACCAGGCCACCACACAGCATCTGAAGAGGCCAGGCTCCTTCCCTTGCATCAGGCACAAATTCCTGGTGACTCCATCCCCATTCTTCCAGTGTGCATGTGGGCCCTTAGTCTGAGCCACTCTACGTTGATTTATTTCCTTTACTGCACATGTGTTAAGGGACAGAATTTTTCACCATGGGCATGTTTAGGTAAGCCCCCTGTGTATAATGACCTGGCCAACATTTGGCTGTCTCCTGTCTCTATCAGTGTGTGCTAGATTTTTATAATAATATTTGTAGAAAACAATACAGGGAAATGCACATCAAACTTAATGGTAGTTACCTCAAGGGATGGAAATAAATACAGAATGCTATGACTTTCTAAAATGTTTTTAACATAGTTGACGTAAGGCTTATATTTTTTATAAGGAGCATAAATTTTTAATTGGGAATATGCATATATTAGATATAAGCATTGATTTTTAAATAACATTTAAGATCTTATAAATCCTGGAAAGACTGATGTAGAGTCGTGTTTATGGCCTGTTCCATCAAACTTAGTGACTGAGTTCCCAATTCTTCTAATTTCAGGGACAGGCCAGATTAACACAAAATAGTAGCTGAAAAGGGTTTGGGAGTTGAGTATATTCCTTATACCTTCTTTAATTTTACTTGCAGATTCCATTGCAGACGCTCTGGATGGCGAATACCATTAAACTTCTGGATTTGGTAGAAGTTAACAGTTCAATCCTTGCTGGTACTAACTTTTGAATAGCTAACATGGGAGCTGTTTTCACTGTGGTCTGTCTAGAAATACATCTGTTTTATCATACATCACAATTACTAAAAATAATTATTTTGGTTTGTTTCAGTTCAGTAATGATAATACTTTACATTCACTTACTGTCTTATTTGCAACACTCCTTCTCATGTCATTTACTCATTGCAAGAAATGGCTGGGCACAATGGCTCATGCCTGTAATTCCATCACCTTGGGAGACTGAGGCGGGTGGATCACCTGAAGTCAGGAGTTCAAGACCAGCCTGACCAACATGGTGAAACCCTGCCTCTACTAAATACAAAAAATTAGCTGGGCTTGGTGGCACATGCCTGTAATCCCAGCTACTTGGGAGGCTGAGGCAGGAGAATCACTTGAACCCAGGAGGTAGAGGTTGCAGTGAGCCGAGATTGCACCATTCCTCTCCAGCCTGGGCAACAAGAGTGAAACTCCATTAAAAAAAAAAAAAAAATGTAAGAACCTGGGAGTAGGCAGAGCAGTGCTTCTCTTTTTAAGCTCTGTAATTTCCTACATTAAGGTTTTCAGAGAATGCAAAATGACTTGATTAGTTTCATCCTGGTGAATCTCAGTGAAAATGTAGGCCGGAGTGTATTCGTACTTTATGCTGTAGGTCCATTCTGAGGCCCATCAGTTGGTCCCTCCCAATATGGTGGACAGAAGGAATGTGAGCCACAGAGGAAGCAATTTAATTTAGAGTAGTTGGAGTTCCTCAGGAACCTAGGAATTAGGACTTGTTTGGGCAGGGATGAAAGGGCCAGCTTCAATCCTAAACATTCCATGTATTTCTCCCTGTTGGCTAGTTATTTCACCAAAGTGCTAACACAAACTTGTAGATTCAGCATTTTACATGATCACTGGGATACTGGGTAAAGGAATTATAGCTTTGTATGCGCATGCGACGCTTTGCTTTGGGTTTCTGATGTACGGAGAGCCCTGTGGCTTCCTTGTAAGTTTTGGTTTACAAAGTCAGCATCAGCACATGTATTCTCTCTGGTATTAATACTGCCTCCTAAGATTTTTTTTTTAATTTTTAAAAACTATGAAGTTGCATAATTACTTTTCTGTCTCGCATATCTTTTCTTTTTTCCATCCTTCAGATCCAGAATTAACAGCACAGGCTCTTATTCCAGGATCAGTAATATACCACAAACAGTCACAAATACTGTTGGTTTATTGCAAGGTATGTTTACCATTAGTTTCAAGTTACCATAGTTGTTTTACTGTGTTTATAGTCTGTATCATTTATTATTTTTAGTTGGAACCTCATTTAACTGCCTGTCCATCAGATTGGGTCAAGAGACCATTTAATTTTCGTAAGAAATATTGGAATCTCTAGCATACTTTTTTTGAAAGTGATGAAGTTTTGCCAAGGCATTGTTATTACTCAAAGAAGATTCAGTAGCTAGAGTGCTTTCTTCAAAGAACATGTGTATTTTCAGCAGCCCAATTTAACTAACACTCTCTTGTGCTTAGTAACATAAAAGATAGTCATATCAAAATATCTGGCTGAACTACTACAGGACACATATCCTACTTGCTTTTACTGCTTAACAGGAGTAGAGAGATTTCGGAACTATTTAAAATAACTTTGGAATCATTATTGTTTTATAAGACTGAGAAGTGTTCTACATTCCTTCCATTTCCTAGGTATTTTGCATCATATGGTATTCATGTGAGATATTTTATGCTTAAGAAGAGGTTTAAAATGTGTGATAGATTGATCTGACCTACACAGAATGTGAATACAAAACCCCATCAACCTCCCTTTGCCTCTCACCAGCGTATTTTGGAACAGTGTTGGGTGTCTTGCTGTCCTTGTCTGGGTCTATATATGTATTTCTTTTCTTTTTTTTTGTTTTTTGGTTTTTTTTTTGAGATGGATTTGCCCAGGCTAGAGTGCAGTGGCGTGATCTTGGCTCACTGCAGCCTTTACTTCCTGGGTTCAGGAGATTCTCCTGCCTCAGTTTTCCAAGTAGCTGAGATTACAGGCACCTGCCACCACGCCTGGGTAATTTTCATATTTATAGTAGAGATGGGGTTTTGCCATGTTGGTCAGGCTGGTCTCAAACTCCTAACCTCAAGTGATCTACCCGCCTTGGCCTCCCAAAGTGCTGGGATTACAGGCATGAGCCACCACGCCCGGCCTATGTATGTATTTCATGTTACATACCTTTTATTCTGCTCCTTTTGTGTTTAAATACATTTATATAGGTCTGTACATTTGTTATCACTCCTTGGTAATACGCTTTTACTGTCAATGGCAAAAACTGCAGTGACTTTTACACTAGCCTAAAAGAGTCAAGGAATTATACATGTTACTTAGTATAGTGCTATTTGCAGCTAGGCATTTAGTAAAGGTTTGTTGGTTTGTTTGTTTCCATGATAAAAATTTTAGAAACTAATATTTACTTGGCTTTTTAGTTTTGCTTTCCCTGCCTATTCACTGTTTGTATTTTGCCCTTTAGGATGGCTGGATCGGGGTTCGATCAGTGATGCTCAAGAAAACACTAACAGCTACTGACTTCTACAATGGATATTTGCACCCTTGGTACCAAAAAAATGCCCAAGCTCCAACAAGCCAGTGCAGATTTCAGACTCTCAGACTTCCAGCAAAGAAGAAGCAGAAAAAAATTGTTGCTATGCAACAGTGCATTGACTAGTTAGGAAGAAGATGGATAAAAACCTATTACATATTTGTAATTTATTAAAAACCTTATTTACAAGGAATTATCTGGACTTTCAAAGAAGACACTGTTAAGTGGAAGAGAAGATTACTGTTGAAAAGATGGATTGCCTCACTTTCCACTTTTTGTGTAACAGTAGTTAAAAACAGCTGTTTCTATTTGAATTGCAAAAAAAAAAAAAAGTTTAAATAAAACTTACATTTATGATATCAAACTTAAGCAGATTATCTTTCCCTAAGAACAAGGGAACCCTAACCGGTGTATATGTGTACAGACATACATACTGAGAAGATATTTTTAAAAACAGTGCATCTGTTGAATGTTTTTTGAATCTTTTTTTTTAAACCACTGACATTTTAGGAGTATTGAATCGGCATTTTTGATTTCCAATAAATCATAAAGCCAGCTCTTTACATTTCACTACAGCTAGGTTTAACCAAGTAATAAACTTAAGTAATATTTAATAATCTCTGCCACATTGATTTGTACTATAAATTAACATTTTACATCCAGATTTTTTCTTTTTTTTTTTTTTTTAGAGATGGAGTCTTGCTCTCTCTCACACAGGCTAGAGTGCAGTGGCGTGAAACACTGTTTACTGCATTCTCAACCTCCTGGGTTTAAGTGATCCTCCAGCCTCAGCCTCCCAAAGTGGGAGCACAGGCGCATGCCACCATGCCTAATTTTTTTTTTTTTAGTTTTCAAAAAATTTTTTGTAGAAATAGGGGGTCTCCCTATGTTGTGTGGGCTGGTCTCAAACTCCTGGGCTGAAAGCAGTCCTCCTGCCTCGGCCTCTCAAAGTGCTAGTGTTACAGGCATGAGCCGCTGCACGTAGCCTAGATTTTCTTGAAGTAGGAACATGCTAACATTTTTCAACTTATTTGTGCAGTAAAGGTTATTGAGCATCTGGTGTATGCAAACTCATCTTCTCGGTCTCCAGGACAGTCAAGCACTTCTGGAGGAAAAGGAGGTACGGCGGCCACAGAATTTAGACATCGGCTTTTCCTGCCTAAATTCATTAAGTTATTTGTTGATTCATCATGTTACTTAGTGTAGTGCTATTTGCATAGGCATTTTTTGATAGAGTGATTTGGTCATCTAAGTTAGAATACTTTTTTATGAGTGAAAGGAAGCACTTAGAATAATTACTCCAGGACAACAGACATAAATCAGGACTATCTCAGGCAAAGTGGGTTGTGTGGACATCTGATTTACGGAGCACTTACTGTGTAACTAGACCTTTAGTTACCAGAGATTAAGAGATCAGATATTTGACATCTTCAACCTGCCAGGGAGACAATATGTAAGCAAAGGTAATAGTTATAAATGCCATAGTAGAGGTATAAAGGATGCATTGTGTCCTTTAGGGGTGTCAATGGAGGCTTCCCAGAGGAAGTCAATGGAATCAGCTTCCAAAAGATGAGTTTACTATGCAGACTAAGGCCTGGAAGGGCATTCTAGCATGTACGGAGGCTTAAAAGAACACCATTGGTGGTTTTGGTAATGTTGTTTAGCTGGGAGCATGATTGTTATTTTATTCTTTAAACCATAAATGTGTCATACATTCTCTTGTATGTAGGAGCTACTTACATATATACATAGAGGTGGCTGGGAAAAGGCTAACAATGGATTATAGAAGAGAAACAAATGGCATGTTAAATACAGGGGGAAAGCCCAGTGTTTTGATGAAAAGAATGGATAAAAGTGGAATCTGGTGATAGAAATGAGACAGGAAAAGCAAGCTGAGGCCTGATCCTGCAGGGCTTTGAAAACCATGAGAGTTTGGGCTTTGTCTCATATGCAGTAGATCATTGGAGAGTGATGTGATCAGAGTTGGACTGTGGAAATTTAAGTTTGATGGTAGTGTGGAAGATAGTTGGGGGATAAAACCTGTGCAGGAAGATCTTTTCGAAGTTTACAAATGTGAAGATCTTCAGGGACGTGGATGGAGCTGAAGCCATTATCCTCAGCAAACTAATGCAGGGACAGAAAATCAAACACAGCATGTTCTCATGTGGTGAAACCCCATCACTACTAAAAATACAAAATTTAGTCGGGCATGGTGGTGTGTCCCAGCTGCTCGGGAGGCTGAGGCAGGAGAATCGCTGGAACCCAGGAGATGGAGGTTGCAGTGAGCGGAGATCATGCCACTGCACTCCAACCTGGGCAACAAGAGTGAAACTTTGTCTCAAAAGAGCAAGCAAGCAAGCAAGCAATTACTGATAAGCTTACAGATTGTCAGAGGCACGACAGGGACTCAGAGTGGGGAACCACATCCATCCTCTCACACACACAGAGGGGAGCAATCTCCCTACCCAAGACCACACAGAGACTGGCTATCAGCTGCATCACCCCAGCCTCTCCATTATGGCCCTGGGCTTCTGACCTGCCCTAGAGGGGCCCTTGGGCCTCCCCCTACCACCCCCTCTCTGTTCCTCACTTTAGCTCTTCTCTGTGGTCCCTGCTTATGGCCAAAAGCAGGGGATCTTAGGAGTTTGAGGCAGCCTGAGCATCTGTCTGTGCTTTCACCCGGAGCCAGAGCACCAGGCCCCATGCACATCAGCTGTGATTCTCCACCGGTTCAAAACCACCTAAGGGCTGGCTGGCTGTGCGTGTGGAAGAGGGGGTGCTGTTCTTCCTCCAGGTTGACAACGTGATAGATTAAAAAGTACATGGGAGGCCAGGTGCAGTGGCTCACGCCTGTAATCCCAACACTCTGGGAGGCTGAGACAGGTGGATCACCTGAGGTAGGAATTCAAAACCAGCCTGACCAATATGGTGAAACCCCATCTCCTAAACATACAAAAATTAGCTGGTCATGAGGCTGAGGTGGGAGAATCACTTGAATCCAGGAAGCAGAGGCTGTAATGAGCTGAGATCACACCACTGCACTGCAGCCTGGGCGACAGAGTGAGACTTCATCTCAAAAAAAATAAAAGAAAAGTGCATGGGCTCTGGAGGCAGAGAGATGGAATTGAATCCCAGCTTTTACTTCTCAACTGTGTGCCCTTGGACAAGGTCGCTTCTCTGAGCCTCAGTTTTCTCATCTGTGAAATGGGAACAACATTTGGCTTGCCAGGGGTCTTAGGATGACTGGGGAGTGCCTGGCATATAGTAGGTGCTCAACATGTGTACTTTCCCATGGCCATCTAAGAGGCCTCAGGGCTGCCCTCCTGCCCTTCCCCTACAACTCCTGCGACTGCCTCTTAAATGGGTACTCAGGGTGATAAGGAGGCACAGGTGAGGGAGCCAGGCTGGCTCCACACCCAGGCATACCCATTGTTAGGAAAACAAGCTTTTAATGCCTGGCCCTGCTGCTGGTGGCTGAGAGTATAAAAGGGGACCCAGAGCCAACCTCTCCCTTCCTGGAACTAAGGCACACAAAGGCAATAGCGTTTAAAAGGAAAGAAGGTGGTGGCAGGGAGGCTCCAGAGACTGAGCCCTTCCTATGGCAAGACAGGAGCCAGTGGGGCCCACTGCTGAGGTTTGTCTGGGAGGTGTTCCATTCTACCTTCCTCCTGGGACCCACAGTCTCTTCATCAGTGATGTCTTCAGGTTCACTGTCCCCAAGCTGCTTAGGTGAGTCCAGACTTCAGGAGCTCTGCTAAGGCTGGTGGTCTCTTAATGGCATCCCTCCAGGGTCAGGGGGCTTCAGCTTTCATGCCTCTGACTATAGATCTGGTGCTTGGGACACTGGAGGGTGGGTCAGAAGGATACTGAGGAAGGGGAATGATTAATGAGAAAGTGACTGTCCCCCAGAGGGCAAGTAAGCAAGCTCTTACCTGACTGCATCAATTAGCTTTTGCTGTAAAATGCCCCAAAAGTGAGTGGCTTAAAATTTTAAGCATTCATTTATTTAGTTCGTGGTAATGTGGGTCAGTAATATGGGCTGGGCTCAGCTGGGTGGTTTTTCTTTTCTTGGCTGGGTTTTCTCCTGTGCCTGCAGTTGTGTGTCTGAAGCTGGGATGGCTCTCTGTTCCATGTGGGTTCCCATCCTCCAAAAAGCTAGCTCAGACTTGTTCACGTGGCTGCTTGGGAGGGTTCTAAGCAATAGGCCAAAAGTCCCATTTTCTCTTGAGGCTCACAGCCGGCATAGCTTTACCTCCACTCTGTTGGTCAAAGGTGGTTTTGTGGCCAGCCCCGATTCAGGTGGTATCTGCTCAGCCGCCATAACAGAGCATCACAGACTGAGTAGCTTCAACGACAGAAATATATTTTCCTCATGATTCTGGAGGCTAGAAGTTCCAGATCAGGTATCTGCAAGTTGGTTCCATCTGAACACTTTGCCCTTGGTGTGCAGTTGGCCACCTCCTCCCAGTGTCCTCATATGGTCTTTCCTCTGTGTGCAGCCTGGTGCCTCCCTGTGTGTCTACATTTTCTCCTCTTATAAGGACCCCAGTCAGACTGGATGAGGGCCCAGCCTAATGACCTCATTTTAACTTCATTGTCTCTTCTTTTTTTTTTGAGACAGAGTTTCGCTCTTGTTACCCAGGCTGGAGTGCAATGGCGCTGATCTCGGCTCACCGCAACCTCCGCCTCCTGGGTTCAGGCAATTCTCCTGCCTCAGCCTCCTGAGTAGCTGGGATTACAGGCACACACCACCATGCCCAGCTAATTTTTTGTATTTTTAGTAGAGACGGGGTTTCACTATGTTGACCAAGGATGGTCGCAATCTCTTGACCTCGTGATCCACCTGCCTCAGCCTCCCAAAGTGCTGGGATTACAGGCTTGAGCCACCGCGCCCGGCTCATTGTCTCTTTAAAGGCCCTATTTCCAAATACAGTCACATTCAGAGGTACCGGGAGCTGGGGCTTCGACATACAAATTTTGCGAGGACACAATTTAGCCCACAACAAGGGGGCAGAAAAACACCAACTCTTGATCTTGAGGAGCTGCAGTCAGATTGAAAAGAACCATGGACAGTGGGGGAAATCACCGAGATCATGATTGCAAAAAAGTCAACCACGCCGACTAATCCTCCACACCTGGCCTGGTTTGGGCAAAGGCAACACACATGGGCACCTTCTCTCACCAGCTGTACCC